ATTATTATTATTATTATTATTATTATTATTATTATTATAAATCCTAAATGACCAAATTCAAATTTTGCTTTTGAAATTTTATGTAACACAATGTAAATAAACCCTAGAATTGCATAGCAAAAGCAATAAAATAGATAAGAGATTTTTGAGAAAACATATTTAATTGAGGTTGTAATACTAATTGCCATTTTGTGTTGAGAGTAAAAAAAAAAAAAAAAAAAAAGACACTATAATCGAAAGAGAGAGGTCAAATGTCAATTTTAGGTTAAAAAAAGAGATGGGTAAAACAATTGAATTTGGATCCTATATTTCTTATTTCTATTATATGTGTAAATATAAATAAAAATTGTAATATTTATTTAAAAAACTTTTATAAAAATATAATGCATAAAATATTCAACAAGAAAAATACAAGTGAAAATTTAACATAAATGGCATTCTTCATGCATATTTAGATATAAAATCATTTACCAGGACTATGTGGTCCAATGGTATCCGGGTTGGACTTCCATTTGGAAGATTATAAGTTCGAGCCTCAGTGGAGGCGTTATTGGTTCTTTATGTTTCAGTAGGTTGAGAAAGTATATGAACAGATACTACAATGTAATAGAGCCAGTAACTTTAAAAAAAAAAAAAAAAGATATAAAATCATTCACAAATTAAAATTTAAGATATCAATTTCATCCAAAATTTAATTTTCAATTACAATTAAAACTAATGCATGCATAAACTCTTGAAATATAATTACAAAGTATAAAAGTCAAAAGATGTTATATATATACATACACACACATAAAAAAAAAAAACAAAAAAATAAATAAAATTGATCCCCCAGAAATTCGAGGTCGTGTGTTGTCGTTCTGGCGGCTCATGGCAATGGTCGGTCCTGATTACATCAAAACTATAGTTAGTAAAAAATGTACAACTTTTTCTTTATACTTGTGTAATCATCAACGTTACCTTTCAGTGGAAGGATATTGGATACGGTTATTCGAGCAACCACCCAACACAGTTTAATAAAATTATTGACGAGAAAGCTTATTAATAGTCAATAAAGTTTGAATGGGTCTTAAATATATTGGTAGATATATACTAGCAAATGTGGGAGAAAGGATATAGGATACAAAGTCTTTCTTGTCTACTTATATATAACTTAATCAACCAAAACCATTAATCATGCTAAATTTTCTTATTAAATATTCACTCACAAACGTGTTGTTATTATTATATATATCAAACAATAACCTTTTTATATTTAGTTATTTCATAATTTTTATAAATATGTAATAGGATGAACCAATTTAGAGTAATATAGCCCTTGCTTTCACTTTGACAAATTATTGATATTAGCATTTAGTCATGCGGACAACTGTTGTGCATTTGAAAATACTTAATTGTGCATATCAAATGATGAAAATCAACGAAAATTGAAAAAAATCTAGCGTCATTTTTGAACTTTCACGGTGCATTTGGAATGTTTGATGGTGCATCTGCACAGTCGCACCTAACAACCTGTCCACACCTAAACCTTGCCCTATTGTTATTCTATATAGGGGGGTTTCAAGCAAGAACCACTAGTTATGTAAGAACATAAAAACTAATCCAAGCCTTTGAGTATAACTCAATCAATGGTTTAGATTAAGTAATTACTTATAAGGAGATCATTAACATAAAAAAATAAAAAAGGATACTAGGATAATTTAAACCAGCCACCAATTAAAAACTAATATTATATTTCAATTGATTCCTAGAATTTAAGAAAAGAAGATGACGAAGGACTCCACTTGGACTGCAATTCTGCGAACGCGACTCTGCACCAAGAACCCCTTCTGACTAGCGTCTGCGAATTTTCGTCGACGGTGTGCATCCGGAGGCAGACAAAAGTCGTGCAACAACTGACGTTTGCTGGAGAGAATGATGGCAAGAGCAGTCCATGAATGTAAGAGTACTATTTCAATACTTAACCGTGTATGTATTTGAATTTTGAATTCAAAGGAATTCGTAATGGTGGGTCTGAGCATGTAATTAGATGACATATTAATTCCCATACTGCTGTGTGCACAACTGGGTCCGTCATTTTGATGGACACAGACGAATTGTTCTGTATCGGCAGTACCACCCCGAGCCTATGTACCCCATGGCAGTGTTTTTAGACAGTATTTATTCTCAAAATATTACGAAGACTAGGCTGCATCTGCAAAATATAGTGACCACACCTGTATATTTATTAGCCACAAGTTCACACAATTTAGGGAACCCAGGCACAGATCTACTTAGAGTTGAACACACGAAAAAAATGGCACGAACTCGAAGAAACGGCACGGACCGATCTATTTATTACATGTTTCTGATGATTTGTCTGTTTTTGTGATGATTTTATTTTAGGCGAGTTTCTTTTAGTGCATAGATCTTGTGCATATAAGATCACTAGTAAATTGATATCTTTCAAGAAAATTTGTGAGTGGGATTTGGAGAATTCAATTTTATTTTATTTTTTTTTTAATGTTTTCTTCCTTAAATTCTATATATGGATGTGCATAGTTTGACGAACCAGACATTTTAATGGTTTTTATTTGTTACACATGTGTATTAACTTTATAATTAAACTCTTGTGTGTGTGTGTGGATGAAGGGTAGTTTAATTGCTTAGATTGCTACTCTTCTTTGGTGATCTATAGCAGATTGGATTGATGTGTAATGCAGAGATCTCGTAAGGATCTTCTTCATCTACGAAAAATTAGCGACGTCGCCCACAAACTATTAAACACCGATGCATAAATTTAGGGACCCGAGGCCTAGATGTACTGTGAGCTAAGGACACAAGAAAAAACGCAGCCAAGTATTTAACATATCATAGCAATCTGCGATATGAGTTTACAGGCACACGAACTACACAAGGGAGCACATTAAAAAAACAATAGTTGTGCACCAAAATTGTAGGAGAAAAATAGATTTATATTCCCCCAAAAACCAAGCATCTAGGATATACACAAAGTTCACCGGTGAAAGCTGTAATGGACCGTTAAAAGCATACACCAATCCTGATAATGGCTAATATACTACACCCAGCAGTTACCAAAAAAAAAAAAAAAAGCACCAAAAACAACATATAACTACCTAAACGATCATAACGTGTAATCACCACTTCCCCACGTGGGAACCCCATGATGGACGCAACATCCTCCTCCCTGACCTCTAAAACCTCACCCTCACCCAATCGAATACACCGAGATTGAGGGTCAAAATTTGAGAGCAGCCAACGCCCCAAACGAAGAGGCATCTCTTTAATCTTGAGCTTAATTAAATACCCAAACCCAAGATCTCACAAATATCCTTCTTCTGTTGGGTTGTAAGGTCCGCCAACGCCTCAACCAACTGTGTTGGAGGCACTCTAATCCTGGCTTGGAAACCGCAGACTCTCCTTTTGAGCATCACTCACAAGTTCCTGCTGCATTAGATTCACGAAAACCCGTGGAGGGTTAACAAAATCATCATCATCATTACGCACTCCAGATGAACAAGCCTCCGGAGGTGCATCATTTGCCTTCTTATCTGCCACCAAACAACATGGATAGACAAAGTAACCAAAAGACTAAATGCAAAGCAAGTGACACAACATACAGAATCCATGCACACAACGATATATACCAGGGCACACAGACCTACGTACCAATGCACACAAATAAATGCCTACGACCACACAAACAATGCCAAACAACATAAAGCTAGAAGGCACACATTACATACTCTTTTTCAGTGCACCCCAATTAAATACTAATATTCAGAGACACAATATACTGCCAGAATAATCAGAAAAACCACGGCAGGAAAAAAATCAGGATATATATGAAAGAGTAACAAAGCTCTTCCACCTTAAAAATTTTTATACCAACATATCTAAACAAGTGTACACACTATCAAGGACAATAGCACACAAATATACAGAATGGTGCACACTCAGTAACAAAAAAAAAAAAAAAAAAAAAAAAAAAAAGCCTTACATGGGTAAACCGTAAATAATCACTAACATCTAGAATAAACACAACAGTCTAAAATATTATATAAATAGTTAAGTTCAATTCTTACTAATAACACTTTGATTATTTATTATTTACTAAGATATAGAAAAATAACAAATAATATTTATTAAATCTGTCCTGTTAGGTTATCCCCATTAGTTGATTTTTCACGAATTTTAAGAAAAGCTATGCTGATGTGGAAGAGAGAGAATGCTCCAAGTCTTCCTGCAAACAATGGGATTTTATCAGATGGGTGGGACCCACTAAAATTTAAAAAATGCTGCTTCATACGTGTGCAACACAAAATGGCCAAAATCAACGCCCAGCGGGTGCGTGCATTCCGCGTGCCCGCTGGGCGCGTAACTCTGAAAGTTAATTTTCCATTTTTTTTTGTTAATTTTCCTTTTTTATATTTTGTTTTGCTATTTTTTTTTCTTTTTTTACCATCTCTTTCTATTTTCTCTTTCCTAATCACACCTGCAAAATCTCCTCCAAATTTACCACTATTGAGGATGCCCTTAGGAAAACAAAAACTAATTGTATGATTATAAGATTTGAAAACAAACAGTAAAAAATGAAAATTTGAAAATAAAATTAAAGAATTAATTTAAAGTCAATGTTGATAAAAACAAACAATGCCCCCATAAGGATATGAAAAGAGTATAATTAAAATAGTAGAGAGGTATTGACCGATCATAATATAGTTAATTACTACTATATAATTAATAACTATTATAAGAATTTAATTTCTATACTATTTAATTCCTTTTTTTAATCACAACATATCAATGCCTCAAAATTTCTAATTCAATAACACTAAGTCAAAATTGTTTAAATTATAGGCTAATTAACCACACTTACCTACTAAAACAACCCGATTTGGACAAAATTCTCTCTCTAGATTCCCTCTAGGGTTTTTGCGATTCCTACTAGGGTTTTCATAGGTTTTCCAATGGTGATCGGTTTTCTTTCTATCCGGACGATGGCCGGAGATGTTGCTATGGATGATGACTTGCTTGGGCGTGAGGAGGAGACGAGAGTAATAACGGAACGGAACGGCGAAAGTCAGCGGGATGAGATTGCTTTGCGCCGAATGGGAGAAGGGAAGCAGGTGACGCGGCGCGACGATGGAGGGTTTTTGGCTGGGAGGACAGTCCGAAACAGTGAGGTGTTGCCTGTGGAGGGTGTACAGCGCGAAAGAGGAGGAGGGGGTAATAGCGGTGGGGTTTGTTGGCCAAGTGCGCTGAATGGTGTGGATGGCAGAATTGCATGCGAAATAGGGGCGGTTCGGATGGGAGGGGGACGACCAGTAGGGGGCAGCGAGGGAGGGAGAAGGGGGAGCAGTACGGCAGCCGGGGGTGGGGGTGGGTGTGGCGGAGTTGACGGATCGGTGGGAGGATTGGACACTACTGGAGGAGGAGGGTGCGGTGTTTATGCCGGGAGGGGAGGATGACGGGGTGGAGGGAGGCGGGGAAGGTGAGGAGGAGACATGGAGGGTGGTCGGGCATTTTTTGACGCAAAAGTTAATTAAACTGGATTTTATGAGGTAGGTATTAGCGTCAGTTTGGCAGCCGGTGCGTGGGGTACAGGTAACGGAGATTCAGAGGGGTTTGTTCTTGTTTGTTTTTTTCCATAAAACAGATATGGACTATGTTCTGAATGGGGGTCCCTGGGCTTTTGAGAATAATGCACTTGTGTGTAGGGAGGTGTTGGACGGGGTGAATCCTGTGGATGTGGAGCTGGATATGATTGATATGTGGGTACAGCTGCATGACATGCCGAAGGGGTACACATCTCATGCGATTCTGGAACAGGCGGGGAATTTTTTGGGCTCTTTTGTTAAGCATGATGAGAGATTTGAAGGAGCACCATGGTTAACATTCCACCGTATTCGGGTATCAATTTCGGTTGATAGGCCGCTTAGGAGATGGATGAGGTTAATGAAGAGAGATGAGACTACAACATGGGTTAATTTCAGGTATGAACGACAGCATAAGTTTTGCTACTTTTGTGGTTATATGGGTCACTTGCATACTTTCTGCCTACAAGCTAGGGAGGCGGGAATTCCACTGGAAAGGTACCTGTACGGTCCGGATATGCGGGCTGGTGGGTCCCGGAGCGCTCCTAGAGCGGTTGGGGATAGCTGGCTCGTGCCGGTAGGCGGGAAGCCGCGTCCATTGGTAGTGAAGCCACGAATAATTGAGGCGGTTGACGGGGGTCGGGGAGGTGGTGGAGTTACACCCACGAGTATGTCTGAGGATGAGGTGGTGGTGGCTACGGCGAAGCGTCGTAGGCATGGGATGGAGTCTGGGGAGGATGGTGGGAATGATGAAATGACAAACACTGTTGGTTAAAAAAACTTGTCCATGGCGGGAGCTGGTGTCCAGCCCCGCCCATCATCATGAGTACGATAAGCTGGAATTGTCGTGGCTTGGGCAATCCATGCACAGTTCGAGAAGTAGTGGACCTGGTGTCCCGTAAGAAACCAGAGTTTGTGTTTTTAATGGAAACCAAGGTGGCACGGAGCCATGCGGAGAGAGTTCGTGTCAGGCTTGGTTATGAGGGTTTGTTTTATGTGAATAATGAAGGCCTGAGTGGGGTATGACACTCTTTTGGAAGAAGAACAACACGGCTAGATTGTTGAGTTACTCGCTCAACCATATTGATATTGAGGTTAGTATGAATGGAAATTTATGGCGTATGACATGTATATATGGATGTCCGGATCGAAATAGAAGACAGGAAACCTGGGAGCTGCTGAGTATGTTAAAGAATAGATCTGGGTTACCCTGGGTAGTGATAGGGGATTTTAATAATCTTCTCTATCAACATGAAAAGAGGGGGGAAGGGGGGGGGGGGGGGAATCCATACCCGAATAGTCTCTTACGAGGGTTTGGGGAAACCATTGATGAGTGTGGTTTGCTGCAAATGCCGATGCGGGGACGCCAGTTTACATGGGATAAGAGTAAAGGCACAGTGAATTGGATACAGGAGAGGCTTGATAAGGTGCTTATTACGGAGGAGTGGGATGGTATGAATGAGAATGCATGGGTGGAGAATATGTAGACTAGAGAATCAGATCACTCGGCTCTGTTTCTCAATATAAATACTCTCAGTGTGCGTAGAGTAAGAGGGCCGAGGAGGTTTAGATTTGAGAATGCATGGTTGTTAGATTAAGGGTGCAAGGAGGTGGTGGAAACAGGCTGGCAGGAGGGGAGGCCAGAGGGCTTGTTGCACTGTCAAAAATTTTGTGGTATGAAGTTGATGAGATGGGGGGGGGGGGGGGGGGGGACCAATTCCATAAATTTGGTCACCGAATATGGCAATTGCGGAGGCGGCAAGAGGGGTTTTGTGATATAACGGATCCGGTCGCATTGGCCGAATTCCAACAGAATGAGAATCAGTTAAAGCAACTGGAGGCCCAGGAGGATGTATTTTGGAGACAGCGTGCGAAACAACACTGGCTCCGGGGTGCAGATGCTAACACCAAGTTCTATCACAGGTATGCTTCTGCCCGTAGAAAGAAGAATTTTATTGCCAATATTAAGAATGAGGGTGGGGATTGGGTGGAGGATACAGATATGCATTCAGTGATTCTGGATTATTTTAAGAGCATATTTGCTTCTAATAATTTGAGCTGTGATGATCCCCTCTTTAATGATTTTGCCCCCCGTGTGTCGAATGAGAATAATGAGATGTTGAATCAGCCTTTTTCGAAAGAAGAGGTAAAAACTGCACTCTTTTCTATGTTCCCGGATAAAGCACCAGGCCCGGATGGAATGAATCCGGGCTTTTATCAACACTTTTGGTCTACTGTGGGGGATGATGTGTCTGATTTTATATTGCATGCGTTGAACTATGGGGTGTTTCCAGAAGGTCTGAACGATACTAACATAGTATTGATTCCTAAAAAAGAGGTCCGGGAGACAGTTGCAGATTTGAGACCGATTGCGTTAAGTAATGTTATATATAGAATAATGGCAAAGATGTTGGCAAACAGAATGAAAATTTTGATTGGAGATATCATCTCGGAATCCCAAAGTGCATTTATGCCTAACAGATTGATTACAGATAATATCTTGGTGGCAGCGGAGGTGGGTCACTACTTGAATAGGAAGCAGTGTGGTGTAGTAGGCTGGAGTGCACTGAAGTTGGACATGTCAAAAGCATATGATAGAATGGAATGGGGTTTTCTGGAAAAAATGTTGACAGTGCTGGGTTTTAGTGATAAATGGGTTAATCTAATAATGTTGTGTGTGACAACAATGAGCTATAATGTAATGGTGAATGGGGAGGTGGGGGGACGGGTCAAACCGACTCGTGGACTCAGACAGGGAGATCCTCTTTCTCCTTATTTATTCATTATCTGTGCTGAGGCACTATCGATGTTGTTGCAGAAGGAACAGATGGCAGGATCTATACATTGATGTAGAGTGGCCAGGGGTGCTCCCCCGGTGTCTCATTTATTCTTTGCGGATGACAGCCTGCTTTTCTTTAAAGCAAATATTCATGAGGCTATGGTGATTAAAGAATGTTTGATGAGGTATGAAAAACTATCTGGACAGGTGGTGAATTATAACAAGTCAAATATATGTTTTAGCCGAAATACCCACCACATGGTCAGAACGCAGGTGGCAGACTATCTTGCGGTAGTGCATGCAAGTAATTTTGGGAAATATCTGGGCCTCCCATCGTTTGTGGGCAGAAATAAAAGAGCAGTTTTTTCCTATGTGGAGGAAAAGATCAGGTAGAGGATTGGATCATGGAGCACAAAGTTATTATCTCAGGCTGGTAAGGAAGTTTTATTGAAAAGTGTGGCTCAATCTATGCCAACTTTTTCAATGAGTGTTTTTTTGTTACCTGAAACAGTTTGTCAATCCATTGAGAGAGCAATGAATAGATATTGGTGGGGAAGTGGCAGAGATAGGGGGATTCACTGGAAGGCATGGGATAAGTCATGTATCCCCAAGAAGTTTGGTGGTTTGGGTTTCAAGGAATTGAGGGCTTTTAATCTAGCTATGCTGTGCAAGCAGGCATGGTGTTTTTTGACAAACCCAGAGTCTCTGGTGGCAAGAATATATAAAGCCAGGTATTACCCCACTTCTAGTTTTGTTGATGCTACTATTGGTAATTGCCCAAGTTTTTGTTGGAGAAGTATAATGGCAGCACATCCAATAGTGGTAGCTGGGATAAGACGCAGGATTGGAAATGGTGAGACAACTCTAATTTGGGGACACCCATGGCTGCAGGATAATCCAAGTCCCTTGGTACAGACAATTATGCCAGAGGGGTTAAGGGAAGCACGAGTAGCAGGTTTGATTGACCCACAAACACAAACATGGGATCCACATATTTTATCTGATTTATTTATCCCTGAGGATATGAGCAGAATAGTTATGATTCCTGTTAGCCCTGATTATGATGACTCATGGTATTGGATAGGTGACCCAAAAGGAATTTATTCAGTAAAGAATTCCTACATGCGTATTGTTGGTGATTATGAGAATAACCCAGGTGATTTTCATAAATGGGTTAAGATGTGGAAATTGAAAGTACCACCAAAATGGAAGACATTTTTATGGAGAGCAGTATGTGATATTTTACCCACTACCACGAATCTAATTAATAAGAGGGTGGAGATTGACCCGACATGTCCTATGTGCAGATTTAATAATGAAGATGTGTTGCATGCATTAGTTTATTGTGAATATTCTGCATTAGTTTGGAATATAACACAATTACCTATCGCGAATATTATTACAGATTCGTTCGCGGCATGGTTAGCTGGGGCTATGACGATTCTAACCGAGGAACAAACACAGCTTTTGGTGGGAGTTCTATACAATATTTGGAGAAGCCGCAATGCAGCTGTGTGGGAAGGGGCCATGTCACGGCCGAGGGCGGTTGTGAAGGGGGCGGCAACATTGCTGAAAGCCTATGGTGCGGTAAACGGCCGTTCCACGCGAGAAGATGGACAGCCACATGCCGAACCAGTGTTGTCCAACAATCACATGCGATGCTATATAGATGCGGGGTATCGGCAGGAAACCGGGGAGGCTACGTATGGAATAGTGTTATTAGAGCCCGGTGGCTCGTTTGTGGCAGCCAAGAATGGCAGATCATCCGTTTGTTTTTCACCACTCATGGCGGAGGCTATGGCTTTTAAAGAGGCACTGTCCTGGTTAGTTGAAAGGAGTATTAGTTCGGCCAATCTGCCCACGGATTGTATGGTTCTGCGATTCACTCGTATGCTGGGTTGATAATTGACCAGTGCAAGACAATGATGTCTTTATTTAATTTTATTTCGTTAAACTATGTGCCTAGACAGATTAATTTACATGCTCATACTTTAGCTTCGTTAGCTTTTACTCAGGAACATTCTATGTATTGGGATTCTATCCCTCCTGATGCTATTATAGCTTTCATCAATTAATACAATCGACAGATTGATTT